CAAAAGGCCTGGCGGAAGGATGGGGAGGGGCGTTAGACAGACCCAAGACATTCCTGGGAATTAGCCTGCCGTCTCCGGCATCCCTGCTCACGGAAGCCCCACATCCTGCCCCCAGCCAATCACTCGGGACGGGTTCTAAAGTAGCGCCAGCTGCCAAATTCCATTTCTAGCCATGAAACTGGCCATGAACTCAAAAAGCCCTCCCACGGCACAACCCTAGCAATGCTGGATAAAATAAATGCGGAACTAACTCATTGGAATATAAGGGAAGCCCTGGAAACATCAGTGGAAAGCTGAAAAATAGGGCCCAGGTGCCAACATGAGCAACAGAAGAGTGTGGGATTTTGTGGCCACGTTGGAACAGAGCCCGCCAGCCAGGAACTGCTTCACGTGGACTCAGTCCAAGGCTCCTGGGACACCTGGTGGGGAACAGAGGCTAAAAGCACCTGTAGGGTTTGCCTGCAAAGCCAGCTGCCCAGGAGGCCCACACAGAGCCCCTCAGCCAGCCGTGAGTCCCCACCCAAAGTTAGGAAACACAAGAGTCAGTCGTGAAGAGAAGTCAGAAGAGAACACGGGATGGCTGTCAGCTTCGGGTATCAGATCTCTGACAGAGATAGGATGCTCACAACAAAAACGTGGAGGAAAGGATCAAAGCCACTGGGGGCAGAACACTTAAAACAGACCAGCTGATCTGAAAAGGAAGCAAAGATCATTTGAGATTTGGAAAACTGAGTCAGGGAAGCCAAGCACTTCCTGGGTTCACGGGGGATAAACTACAGCCGAAGACAGAACCAGACGCCGGAGCTGGAGAGACCGCCAGCCTGCGACGGTGGATGCTCAGCGAGCACAGCTGGCCGAGGGCTAAGAGGAGCAAGCTCTAAGGGGCAGGGAAAGTTCCAGAAGGAAGGGCCCGAGGGACAGACAGAGGGAGAGACATGAGCTAAGAAAACGGCTAGGATTGTTGTGGAATTGGCAACACGGGGCGCCGGGATTCAGGCAGCAGGTGACAGACAGCGCGAGCACCAGAGAAGTTGGGAGGCAGCCGTTTATTGGGCAGGTGGGTGGGCGCCGGCCATCACTCCTTGAGGGAGAAGTGCATCTTGTCACTGATCATCTTGCGCTCGGGGTTGAGCCGCTTGAGGATCTGGGCGAGCACGTTCACCGTCTGCTCGCTGCTCAGCCCCGTCTTCTTGGTCTGGAACTTCTTCAGCAGGTCCTTGGTGGTCATGGGCTTCCGAGTCAGATAGCGGCGCACCGCGTCCTCTGTCACCTGCACATCGCTGAGGAGCCGAGCGGAGGGCGGG